GCAGCCGCCTGAGGCTCTTCACAGAGCGCTCGGGCGGCTGCAGTATTTAAAGGGCCGGCCCCAGCCGACGGCCCACCGGGAAATTTCCCGGTATCCCGGTGGGCCAGTCCGGCCCTGCAAACGAGTCATCCCAAAATGAGGAATAGCGAGAAGCAGGGGTCTCAAAAGGCGCACACCTCGGAACCAGTCTGCAGACCAAGGGGTCCTTACCAACATCAGAACCTTGAGAAGGTACATGAGCTGCCGAGATAGCCGATTGTAAGACATTAATAGCCCTATACAACTTACCCTGAGAAAATAATCTGGCCAAGAAATTCAGGACGGCCATGATAGGGGCTGTAAAGGGATCCAAACGTCTCTCCAGATACTAGCCACGCCAGGATCGCCAGGCTTGCAGATATGATCTTCTGTGCCAGGCGTCCAATAGTCCCAAAGTAACTCTCTAGCTGTTGTTGATAGACCTGACACATCCCAGGAACCCCGGAAACGTTCCAGGCCACCAGTGACAGACGTCCATATAATACCAACAGATGTGGATTCCCTGTGGGATCCCGCAGAAGAAACTTGGAGACGGGTAGAAGTAGAGGGTCTTTGCATGTTAACTCCATCAGTAGTGGGAACCACAGTTAACTTCTCCAAAACGGTGTGATCAGGAGAAGGGACACCCTCAGAAGCTTGATCCGATGTAACGTCCGGAGAAAGGGGGAAACGCATACGCCCCATGGGGGAGGCCACTCCATGAGGAACATCTACTGCTTCGCTGAGGGGATCCAAGAGCCAATTGAAGAATAAGTCCGTCTTGCGATTCGCCCTCTGCGAACAGATCCAGGTGGAGGGGACCTTGAAGCATCTTAAACACAGGAGGGTGTAGTTGCCAATCGTTGGCGTCTCTCCAGTGTCAAGAAAAAACAGTCCGCCACTAGATTGTCCTGGCCTAGGAGGTATTCCACCACAATCAATAAGTTCTTGTCTAGACAATACTGGTAGAGATCCCTTGTCAGATCCAACAGAAGTTTGGAATGGGAACCTCCTAATCGGTTTATGTAGCGGACCACCGAGACGTTGTCCGTGCTTAGAAACAACGAGCATTGACTCATCCCTTTGGTGAAACTTTGAATGGCCATCGACCCCGCAATCCGTTCCAGACCGTTGATGTGAAGGTTCTTCTCCTCCGGAGTTCAGAGTTCTCCTGTCGCCATTGCAAGCAGCACCCCAGCCCAGACAACTGGCATCCGATTCCAGGACAAAGTCCGGCCAAGATCCGAATATCACCTTGCCGTTCCAGGCCTCCATGTGTCAAAGCCACCAATGAAGTTCCAGATGGGCATTGTCTGAAAGACACACAATTCGGTCGTATGAGACCGATAATCTGAGGTAGTGCGCCCTCAGGCATTGGAGAGCCCAATAGGGCAGGGGTCCCAGGAAGACGGCTTGAATGGAGGATGACAGCAGTCCTATCAACTGGGCCAGATCCCTCAACATGGCCCATGGGTCGCGGAGCAGGCGTCTTAAATTCTCCTTGATAGGGGATACCATGGACATCGGAAGGTGGAGCACCGCCTAAACCCAATCCTACGCGAAACCCAGAAACTGGTGAGATAAGTCTCCTTCAAATCCAGTCAGGAGAATCAGTCGCCCTTGCAGAGCACATCTCTGAGGAAATGATGTCCTCCATCTTAAAATGTTGGTAGACGACCTACGTGTTGAGGGCACACAGATTGATCACAGGATGGAAATCTCCTGTTTTCTTCCCTTCTAGGAAGAAATTGCTCAAGAGTGAGGGGGGCCTGTCGCCCTCCACTCCGCCTTCATCCAGAAGGGATAGTATTTCTGAATGAACCAGGTCGGAAGCCCCCTTGTCCATACGTATTGGCTGTGGAGCGGAGGCTTGTATCGGAGGTGTGACAAAATCGATCCAGAGTCTGTATGTGGTCTGCAGAACCCACAAATCTCCAGTGATGGCCATCCACTGAGGGGAAAAAAAGTGAGACAGTCAGTCTGCAATGGGTGAATTTGGTAAATAAGGAGTGACTCTTAATTAAGGCGTATCTTGCCCGTGTTTCTGGAGGACCCACGGGGAAACAGCGGGTGGTACTGGTATCAAGATGAGGATGAGGAGAAAGACTCCGAGATGCGGGGCTGTTTTCAGTGAAGGCAGCTCTCCTGGTGGGCCCTCTGCCAACCAGCCATGGAGGGAAAATGGTCCCCTGAACGGAAGACCCATTTGAGAGACAGTTGAGCTTCGGTGAGTGATGTATAAATGGAAAACGTGTCTGTTTAATTCCTTCGTAAAGGCGTCACCAAAGAGTAGGCCTTTGGCATCAGGACACAATTCCTTAGAGGCCAAGTCAGATAGTTTGCCATCCAGCGTGTAAGGGGCCGCCTTGCGGTGCTCTGAGTTGAGGGCCACATTGGTATGGCCCAGTAGACAAATAGTCCTTTGAGCCCACTCCCAGAGGAGATGAGCGTCAATTGGAGCTCCACCGTGTAGGGTATCATCCACCATAAGGGAGATCTGTGTCAACTGAACACTGAAATAGAGTAGAGTCCTGTTCCAGGCCTTTCCATGGATCCTTCCCAGATCTTGTCATGAAGGTGGTGAACACTGGGTCAAAATCAGGGGCAAGGCCACGTGATCCAGCAGTGTCTCCCTCACATAGCATGAGGGTCGGTCATGGAAACCCTCACCGGGTGATGCGTTAGCCAAACTGCCAGCTCGGTCCTCATCCAGGATGTCCAAGCCAGGTGCCCCAGAGTGTCAGGGTATTTATATCGGCAGACATCTTGTGCTATGATAGAAACTAAAAGTGTATATTCTGAGTCACTCTGAACAGACCAGACTCCATTTTGTTATTTTCAAGTTAACAAAAAGACACTAGATTTCTTTCTGTAAGACTAGCCACTTTGTCAGAGCTAAAAGGAATGCATAGTATAAACAAGTGATAAGAAGAATATAATCAAATCTAAACCCAGACAATTGTGACAGAGAAGATTAAATAATAAAATGTAACTGTCTATATATGTAAGGTCCCATTGTATGGAAAAGGGTAAACTTAGTTCATGATCTGCTATATCAGACAAAACTCAGATTGCTAGACACATAGTCTGGACAAAATTTAAGAAACCCTTTGATCTGTGAAGGATACGTAAGTTATAGTGGTCATTTGAGATAAGCAAAATGACGTCAAAATAGCCACTAGGAAAAGTTAACTCTTTCCTGGATAGGTATGTTTAGTAGGACAAGACTGCCCTCTATAGACCAAATAACTAAATTGCGATCTGGAAGATAACCACACCTCTAGTGCTTCTATTGGGTTATCAACTGATGACGTACAGAGAGTCTGGCCCTTTAAAAGTTAAGACAAAGGGAAGATAGAGATATGCAGGGGATGCAAGAGATGCAAAGGAGAGAGGAATTGGAAGTTTGGGGACTCCAACCTCCATGCAGAGAGACATCCAAATAAGTTCCTGAGACTACCAATCGGATGAAATATCTACTCAACTGGTAATTATACTGGTTTCATTTAATAAATTAAATTAATTAAAATGTATTAATAGCATTATATATGACTGGATAAAGCACGGTCAGATTTCCATATTAAGAAATCTTAGTTAACTAAAATATATATAGTTATAAACATTCCATTCTGCAGGTGGAATTAAGAATAATTATATATTAAGGTGATATTATCACGTGTTAGCATACCGCTGTTTTTATCCAGATGTATTGATTTGCTCTAAATTAAGATAAGATATCTTTTAGACAAATTAAATCTGCTTATAAAATATGGTAGATTCTCTTATTGGATGGTTTCAGGAAATGACTAATGAACTGGTTTAAATGTTATTTTATTTAAATATTACATAAGAATAGATCTTAACTACCTAGGAGATCTAGCCAGCATTGAAAGGGTCATTCTAACTGTCTGCTAAACTTTACAACCTTACGCTGCACTCTGAGGAATTCTGTTCTTCTGTGAAAAGTTTCACTTTCAGTCTGTGTTAAAGATAGTCATAAATAAAGACTTGACAGAAAATGCTGTTCAGAGTTAATAGCCATTGAAACGTAATACCCATTCCTTTGTATTGCATACCATTTTATACTGAACATTCATTGATTATTGTCATGCATGTTACATATTATTATTAATTAATTTGTCATTATAAATAAAAATCTATTTTTATACATTGTGATATTATTATATGAAATACATTCCACTTAACACGATAAACGTTCTTTGGGATCTGAGAATTGAATTAGTGGGCAATTCTCAACTGTTTACTATTATTATCCCATAAATATCCCCACAAGAGCACGTGTCTTCATCTGAGCGACCGCCTGAACCAGAGCCCAGTCTGGCTAGCTTGGCTGGCATCTTTACCTTGCCAGTGGTAGCGCCTTGACCTGTCCAAGGTCTCTTACGCACACAGTCAAAAGAAAGGAATGCACACCATCTGATACAATAGTATCTATCTATACCGTATATATTTATTACAATACAAATACAAGCCATACATGCAAAATGTAACAATATAACAGTGACCAAATAGGCTACACAACTCAACAATTATATTTACCAAATTCCACAAGCCTGTATGGGCAGAAACACGAGTCACAAACAATCCCCCAACTTTTCAGCTCCTCCTGGTAGCCTTTATCAAGGCATTTTGCACTCTTACGCACACAGCACATATCCGCAGAGCGAAGGGAGCCGCCTGAGTCAGAGCCCCAGAGGTGTCTGGCATGAGTCCCATAGGGGTTGTAGCGGAGGCCTGGTATTCCCCAGGTTAACCCCACTAGAGATCCCAGTGAGGCTCAGGAACAAGTAGTAAAAATACCATAAAGTAATAATCCCAGCAAGCAAGGTAATCCACGAATATCCCAATACAGATCCCAATGATTGGACGACACACAGCATCAGGAGCATAACTGACTTTTAATGCACACAACTTCCTTATAAAGCATTCTCCCATGCAAGGGAGGGATTTGCAATAATTAGTACAGTAGCCAATCCTCCACGAGTTGCCACCCACACATCCCCTCCCCTTAGTGTGACACATAATCCCCTTATACAGGACACAAATTCCCAGAGTTTCTGGATGTACCCCTAAACATAGGGGTACCCCTTTAAATGTTACATCCCCTGGTAGCCCTGATCTAGGTGAGACACATATCCAAAAATCACCCAGATCGGACCAGGGGTTCTGGAAATTTATGGAAGTACTAAAATGACCGACCGCACTGGGTTTACCAGCCGAAAAAGGCTCCATTTGTTTTGGCCCTGCGGTCGGTCACAGAAAAGGGAATGTAACACATGAATGACTTATGTTAGGAGAGCTGGGGAGGTTTTGTGTAATTTCCCTTGTTCGTGGGATTCAAACTACCGAACGAGAAGCCGTTCGGTAGTTTGTATACGAATTGGCTGCAGTGTGGAGGTCTCAGCGGTGTTTGCCTAACCGAGTGTCCGATTTGGGTTCCAGACACTCGACGGCAAAACACCACTGTTCGGGAGTTTAAAATTGCCGCCGCCACGTGTTCGTCTCCCGAATGGCGGCCACCCAGAGAACAAAGGACCCACTATACGAACCACCAATTACCCGTTTGCATCATTGTTGCGAACAGTAATTGGAGGCATACTTATTATTGGGGTGGTCTGATTGTTCGGTAGTTTTACTCGCATAATAACTGCATCCCTGTGGAGGGTAGCAAGGGCTTTAGGTAGTGAGTGCGGCACATAGCCAGGCTTGGGGGCCCTCGGTACCTGGATGTCAGATACGTCAACCATGACTGATTACACTGAAACAGCGGTAAGTTATGGTCAGCGTGGTACCTGGGTGAGGCCAGCTGGGGGTCACCAAAACAAGCACAATCATTTCATGCAAAATAGGCGGTGACAAACGCTTTTGGGTTTGGTCATTTGCCATGAGCTCCTGGAGGAGCCTGCTTGCCAGCCTCCTGCCCCAGGATTATGGGCCATGCAAAATACACTGAAAAAGGCTCTGTTCGTGTTATTTTTTTTTATGTTGTTCGGGAACCGAAGAGACCACCCGGGAGCTTGTTAAGTCCAATTGACACCTTGTTACTAGTTCCATCACAGTGTTCTAATTGTTTTGCTGGATGGCCGCATTTCGTAGGAATGACCACGAGGTCTTGTCCCCGCGAACGCAGGCAGCGGTGTTTGGGCATCAATCTCCTGGAACTAAAATCGGACATTGTCATCTGAGTTCGGTTCTATGCAACTTAGAAGGGCACTGTTCGTGGAAACGTTCCCACGAACACTATGAACAAGCTCCAGGGTAGAACTATGGATTCCGTTTGGTAGTTTGTTCGTTTTTAAACTACCGAACTTGACCGACCGTTAGCACTGATTTCATGAAACTGTTTTGGGCGTAGGACCATGTGCACGGTCCGTCAAAATTATGATGTTGGTCACCCAGATCTGCGCTATAAGGGGATTTGACTTGTGTGGGATTTTCATGTGTTTCATGTGTTTTGGGGGTTTTGTTATATTGCCTGTTTCTGTACTGAGAGATAATTCAATTATATGTTGATGTGCTCAGGTAATTATCTCTCAGGCACAGGGGAGGAGTATGTTAGATGTTTGCTTGTAACTGGTCTCCTCTCAGGCACAGGGGGAAGGATTATCCTGTTTTGTGTGGGAGTGTTATGGGCATGTTTGACTGTGTCTAAACTGTATAAAAGCAGGCCATCTGGCCAGATTAAAACATTCCAGCTTGTACTCACAGAACTATGTGTCATCTGGTTACTGAGAGGGTAAAGGACTAATCACTGTTCCAGTGTGGAGGATTTAAGGGGAAAGTCCTTATAAGGCCTAGAGCTCCCAGGACTGAGTGTCCTCTAGTGCCTGGGGATTGCTAGAGTGAGTTCCCCATTCGGTTCCAGGACCCCACTCCAGCCACGGTGACTGTGGGCAGAAGTGCTGCGGTTTGTCCCCTGTTCCAGCTAGGAAGCGGTCCTTTGCAGAGGTACCCAGCCAGGGGTACAGGGAGCTCTGTTACATAGGCCATTAAAGAAGGGGATCACCCTCAGAGTATGTACAATAGAACCCAGGGCTCAACCGCACAGCCAGAGGGAGAGTGTTGCCCAACCCAGAATAAGTGCAACAGGCACAGTAGTGTGGCCCAGCAGGGGGCAATATAGCAGGCATAGTGTACCAGTAGCATATACATAGAAAGGGGGGTCACCCCATTCATAAATAGGCTTATGTTAGCACCTAAAGCACTTACCTACGGAAGAAAAAAAATCACCAAATTGTAGGAAAAACACAAAGGAGAGGCTGGCAACATAGCCAGCAGCAGTAGATGCAGTGGGGTGGGGAGGACCGTAGCACACAGCTTACGCGGTTCCAAAAAGATGGCTGCCGCGGCTGCGAAAAATCGAGCGCGGCCTACCTCGCGACATTCACGGGGTCCACGGCCATGCCGCTAGCAGTTCAGAGCTGGATATAGCTGGGGGGAAGGACACGGCTTGGGGCCGGATGACCCACTGTACTACCCAGCTGTAACTCTGGCTACGGGACAGAGCGCCGCTGGCCTCTGCCCACCAACTACCCCCAACTCCCTGCCGGGGAGCGCAAGAGAGATCGGGGATGACAGACACCCACTTGGCAACCTGGGACATAAAGGACAGAGCCGGACAACAGAAGTCACCAGGTCCAGTACATAGGCGTGTGCAGCCTATTGCATTAGGGTATGCACCCTAAAGCGCAAACACACGTGTGTGTGTGTGTGTGTGTGTATATATATATATATATATATATATATATACATACATACATACACTGCTGTGTGTGTGAGTTGGTAGTGTCCCGTGTGATAGTGCTGGCAGCGTGCTGTTGGGGTGCTGGTACTACTTATCCCGCACTAACCCCCCTCCCCATCCTTGCTACTTCCTCCCCATCCTTACTACTTATCCCTCACCAACCCCCCCTCCCGATCTTTACTACATCTCCCACACCAACCAACCTCCCTCCTCATCCTTATTAATAAGTCCCGCACCAACTTCCCTCCCCATCTTTACTACTTCTCCCGCATCAACCTCCCTCCCCATCTGTGGCGAAAGTAACCTCGCCACTGATTTTTGGAGGGCCCTGTTTGCCAGCCTCCTACCGTGACTCTGGCACCTGTGATAAAACTTGGTTTAAATCACTGTTTGTGCCTTTTTGGATTTTTATTGCCACAGTTCGAACTTTTGAAGTGGCACTTCAGACTCCCAAACAGTCGAAGTGGCCGCTATTCAACATTCTAACACGTGGTGGTGGCCATCTTGTTCTCATGGACCAAAACCGCAAATAGACTTCAGGGGGACTTAGCTGTGAATGCCCTGGAACAATTTTCGGTATGAAAACCTCGCGGTTCCCAGTCGGTCCTCCAGCGGCACTATGGAAATGTTATGGGGATTGTAACGGACCGTTTTGCACAAAAGGGGTAAAAACCGTTTAGGCGATCGGCCCCCTTTCCAGAGATGCAGGCACAGCTACTGCAGAACACCAAACTCCCGAACTGGATACAAAATAGCACTCCAACTCCCGAACTGGAACCTCCCAAATAGCTGCTAGCAGACGAACAGGAAAAGCAGACAATCAGCTTACACTCCTGGCAATCAGTCTCTAACAGCATACAGTGAATCCCCCCAAGAACGAGACAAGGCTCCGTGTTGAGGGTCAAGCAGTGGTCTGAGGTGATGGCACACCCAGCCTGGTTTTTATTACAGTCTTTTCAAATACAGGACCGCCCACAGGGAGGTATAAAACAACCAATCACATATCAGTTACATCCCAAATATTCCCTCCCCTTATCCTGAGAGGAAACTCAATTACACATACAGTTAAAACATACTTTCTACCCAACTTTCATAACTCTAAAACCATACATCACATTCACATAAAATTACATATTCACAATCAATTATTCAGAGGAACAACATATTAAAAAATGGCATGAATCAGACCAGGGGTTCAAAAGTTAGTAAAAGTATCTTTTGGGCCCTGGCTGGCACATGGGTATTTGGCTCAACCAGGTTTTACAGAGCCCTCTATCCTGGAGACAATGGAGAAAGTAATCCAATTATCCAGGGATAGAGGCAGACTCCATTGAGCACATGGTTGCAAAAAGACAGTAAAACACTTTAAAATACATAAAGTCACCTTTTACACATAACACACAGACATTTCACATATCCCCAGATAGCTGGGATCTGAGCGCACAAAACTACCGAATAGCGCTCAGATCCTATTCACACAGTTCAATTGCCATGGAGCCGAAGTCTTTAACTACACGAATGGGCTCCATGGCATAGCTATCTGGATTAACACATTTACATAAAGTCTGGTCCATAGTCCAAAGGCAGCAGGCGGGCAGCCAGGCTTCTCCAATGCAATGTGGCGAGATTGCTCTCGTCAAAGGGATATGTTGTGTTTTGGGGTTTTGTAAAACGTGTTTTTTCTGCGAGTGTCGTACATTTAATTACTGTTCTGATTGGTTTGTGACAATTGTCATCCTGTCCCCCACAAGGTCCACGTGGGTGTTCCCTTGCATAAAAGGCCAGCTGTGGCTCCTATTAAACAAGATGCTTTACCCCTTCATGAAATCTTGGCTCTTGCTTGGGGGATTGGAGAACTACACTTTGGGATTGCTATAATCACAGTACTCCCCTGAGTATAATCACTAGCTCTTCTAAAAGCTGTTACTGCTACGCTCTCTGGATTAGGAGAGGCCTACCCACTGGAAGCTGGATCCTGGTCTTGGGTCCAGGATGGGTGGAGGACAGCGAGACCCAAACAAGCTGCGGCAGTTCGTAGAGTCTACAGTGCTTATGATGTCTGGTGGAGTGCTTGGAGCCCTCGGTGAGCACTAGGAGCATCCATTAACGGAGGTACCCGGTCGGGGTGCCAGGAAGTCTGTCACACCATCTTTACTACTTCTCCTGCACCAACCCTCCCTCCCCATATTTACTTATACTCCCATACCAACCCCCCATCCTTACTAATTCCCACCACCAACCTCCCTCCCCATCCTTACTATTCTCCCCCACCAACCTCCCACCCTCCCCATCGTTACTACTTCTCCCACACTAACCTCCCTCCCCATCCTTGCTACTTCTCCCGCACAAACCCCGCTCCCCATCTTTACTACTTATCCCTCACCAACCTCCCTCCCCATCCTTAGTACTTACCCTCACCAACCTCCCTCCCCATCTTTACTACTACTTCTTGGTTGGCTGGGATATCAACTGGAGAACACTGCAGCGCTGCTCAGACTAAGGGAAGAGGACATCTCTGGCGGTATATACCCCTCCTTACTTGGGGTAACCGTCACAACTACTTCACCCTCCCCATTACTACTTCTCCCCCACCAACCTCCTTCCCCACCTTTATTACTTATCCCGCACCTCCCTCCCTATCCTTACTATTCCCCCACCAACCTCCCTCCCCATCATTACTACTTAACCCGCACCAACCCCCATCCCCATCCTTACTACTCCCATACCAACCCCCCTCCCCATCCTTGCTACTTCCCCCACACCAACTTCCTTCCTCATCTTACTACTCCTCCTGCACCAACCTCCCTCCCCATCTATACTACTTGACCTGCACCAACCTCCCTCCCTCCCCATCCTTACTACTCCCCCACCAACCTCCTTCCCCATCTTTACAACTTCTCCCCCACCAACCTCCTTCCCCTACTTGATGGATCTCCTGGCACCCCGACTGGGTACCTCCATCAATCGCTGCTCCCTAGAACTTGTGAGCACCATAAGCACTGTACTGGTACACCATAACCACTGTAGACTCCCACAAACCGCCGCAGCTTGGTTGCATATCTCGCCGTCCTCCACCCAAGCTGGACCCAAGACCAGGATCCAGCTTCCAGTGGGTAGACCTTTCCTCATCCAGAGAGCGTAGCAGGAACAGCTTTTATAAGAGCTAGTGTTTATACTCAGGGGAGTATTGTGATATAGCAATCCCCAGAGTGTATGTAGTTTTCCAATCCCCCAAACATGAGCCAAGACTTCATGAAGGGGTAAACAAATCTGTTTAATGGGAGCCACACTTGGCCTTATATGACAATCCCCATGCAAGGGGTACACCCACATGGACCTGATGGTAGACTGATTTGCAACTTCACAGACCAATAAGGTTACACGACACTCCCACACAAAGCACACAATCCCTCCCCTCTGCCTGGGAGATAATTGGATCAGTATCTGTACTAATTCTAATCCAATTCTCTCCAAGCACAGAAAAAACATACTTTTTAAAAAACACCCTAAAAATACATAAAACAAATGTTACATCTTCTGATAGCTCTGATCTGGGTGACCAACATATCCAATAATCACCCAGATCAGTTCAGGGGTTAAGGAATTTCCTGGAAGTTATTCATTTGACCAACCTTCTGGTCTGTCTAATTCGGTAGTTTGAAAATGAACAAGCTACCGAACAGAGTCAATAGTCTTACCCTGGAGTTTGTTCCCCTCATCCAGACGAATGATCTCACTGAACAGTGCCCTTCTAAGTTGAATAGAATTGAATCCAGTTTCTGTAGCCGATTTTAGTTCCATGAGATTCATGCCCAAACACCGCTGCCTCCGTTCATGTGAACAAGATAGCCGCCACCTTGTGGTTGTCCATAGGAATTGCGGCCACCCAGACGAACAATTAGAACACTGCAGTGAGAAACATTCCAAGTTGTTAATAGGTGCTAACAAGCTCCAGGGTGGTCTCTGGTTCGTGCGGTTGTTTGGTAAACGAACCATATAGTCCCAATTGCACGAACAAAACGGAGGGATTCCTTTACCCAAGTTCCCTGAGTAATAAATATTTAGTGACAATGTACACAGGACATTATTACAAAGCAGCTGATCGGAAACAACTGTACGTTAGGCTCCAGTAAGCGATAGGAGACTGAATGGGATTAGGAAAGGGGGCGTCTATAGATATTACTCCAAACATACTTCTGGCCTAAAGAATGAGCGATAGTACAGCCAATGGGCTCTGTCTGTGGCCATAATGTTATATGGAAATACATGCAGGTAACTAAACTGGGGCAGAGCTGGGTCATATGTGATGAATCCAAAATCTCTCCAAGCAGACACACTCACTGACCTCAGCGTAAAAATCTTATAAAATCGATTTACCTGCACTTTTAGCAGACTGTGAATTAGGGAAGGAAGAGGAAAGTTACTGGGTTGTTTTTTTTAAAAGGAAAGATAACTCCTCAGCATTTAAAAAAATAACCTTTTTCTAAAACCATTCAGTAGTTTTTTTTGTTTGTTTTTTAACCAAAGAGACTAATGTTGGTGGTTTATATCGCCTAGTGATTATCGGTCCATGTGCGAATTAGTATGTAATCCCAGCCAGGCAGAGCAGCGTGAGAACTCTAGACATGTTTATATTTTCAATAATGAAATCATATTCCAAAAATGCATTATATAAATGTCGCTGTAACATGCCAGCCCAGACCATAATTACACCATTTCCTAGTGAAACATCAATGGAGTGCTGAAACACAGTAAATAAATATCTACCCAGGCACATACACTATACACACACTCTGCATACATTAATATACGTCACAATGCTCCGAGATGACGTGATCCTGGCTCCCGCTGTGCACAGTGGCTTTGTTTGTGGTTGTCTGGATATTCGGAAGGTTCTTTAGCACAGATTGTCTATGTGCCAGGATGCCCAGGAATGGGTTTTTATTACATTTGACAGAAGACACTTCTCGGAATTCGTAGTCATCAAATCTCGAAGGTCCAAACACACGCCAGAATTCCCTAATACAGATATTTACTAAGAGGGAGTCTGGGTTATCGCTGGTGATCCAATTCAGAACAATCCTGTGCCCAGTAGAAAACCAGCATTATGCGGGCGAACCCCATACAAAGTATAATGAGACTAGAGCGTCAGACATTTATCAAACATCAAACATTCACCAGATTCACTATGGAGGCAAAAAATCTGAAACATCCAGCAGACAAATGGTTAATAAATTGAAAGATATTTACCAGGAGGAACCTATTAAATATTGCCCTGTTTAATCGCTCACCGTAGGCAGCCGTGTGGAGGTTAATAGCAGAGTGGTCCGGCGGTGCGATTTATTATTTAACTATTAGCTCTCTGTGCTGCCTTCTAATAGGGTGGAACGTTCACACATGTTTGTCACCAGGTGTCTGCTTTTATTTGATTCTATTAATCCTGTATGGTGGTTATGGTGGTGGGGGCAAAGCTGCTCTGCCACCGCGGGGCCTGTACAGGCAGAGGAAGTGACATCACAGACACATTTTGCATTAAACACACGGATAACACACCATTGATACATAACTCTCCATTAAAAGCTGATTCTGCTTCTCAGTAAATATATACATTCGTTTTCTCAATCACAATTCTTGTGTGGAATATTCTGGCACTTTGTTTTCTTTAATTAAAGGGTCCCTGCTATCACAAGATTTCTCTAAACAATCATATAACGCTATAAAGGATTGTGCGTAACCTGTGTTCTGTTTATTTAAGCAGAATCAATGGCTTTCTATCTAACGTGGAGGCCATGGTGGCACGTAGCACTCAATTAGCAGCTCACGGAACTACCTCCGGTTCCCAGCGCAGTGCAACGCTGACAATTAACCAGATCAGATGTTAGAATCACAGATTCTGACTGACTCAATTATAATGATTAAATGTTTACAGATATTGTGCAACATTTTCAGCCAGCGGTCTGCAGGTACAATATCCGACAGGTGGAAATTAATATAATGTGTCCAGTAAGTTTAATTGTAAACAGATTTAAGGAAAGAAAGGCAGATGACCACTCCATTTCAATGTGGAATTCAATAAGTGACGTGAAAGTATCCTGAAAGGTTGGGATGCACATGGACATAGAGGTCCACGTTTGACCCATCCAGCAGCAATATGGTTAATATTCACAGGACCATCAAGTAATTCCTGGCAATGTGGTGCATTCACATAATTCATTGGATTCTTTGGTTTGTCGCCCTGAGTGGGAGGTGAAAATGAACCCATTGAAGCCGTGAGTGGCATGAACCGGGGGAAAAGCTGGCATTGCATATTGATTCGACGCCTGTAGTGTAACAATGGGTGCTACTGGGATGTCCTGAGAGTTTAATTCCTGCTGATTTTGGGACCTGTTTGGCCTTTTGTGCAGTTCAATAGAAATCATGATTCCAACAAATTCACATTTTGTAAACCAAGTCAAGGAATAAATATTAAAAATCCCTGATATAGGTTTTTCAGAAGAGTCTGACCATGTCCGTATTGGAGTCATGTCACTCCTTGTCATTAGAAACCAATGGCACCAGCTCTGGAGAAAAGGGACGAGAAACATTCAAGGTGGGTGCCATCTTCACTGGATAGAGTGGGCACGTCCTTTCCTGAGCAAGATTCTCTTGTAAATGGACGCCAACATTTCAAAACACCTGGTAAAGCAGTTTATCTCATTAGTGAACTACGGCTATAGCCAGGAGCTGTTTGGGTTGGCTGAAAGGATGTCACGCAGTAGTTATGGATCACAATGAGATTTCCGTGAAGACCTCCTTCATGAGTGGTGTGCTGTCCGGTTGTACGTCCCAGATGTGAAGCAGCTGTTTGCTATGCTCGTCGTTCATGCTGCGAAGCTCTGTCAGACACTCCATGATCTTGGCGAAGAGAAACCTGGAGCAAAGAAATGGAAACGTCAACACAGAGATTATTCGAGGTAGCTCAGTGGAAACAATGGGCTACACAAACACCACATGTCCCAATTACATGCCAGGCTTCCAGGTAACATAAATTGTGAATGAAGCTGGAATTTGAGCTATTAACAAACTGCATATCAGCAAGCAAGGTTACACCCAAACAGCACAAGGACTCACAGGTCAAAAGCCCCGTCAGGAAAGAGAACCATTTCACACAAAATATTTACTACTCACACAGGACAGGACATATGAGAACGTAGAGTGGGTCAAGCTCTGATAAATGGGTTAAGCTGGCGCTTGAACACATCTAAACATCAGTCACTGCCAACTCATGGTGGCTGCACACACTCTGCCCACCTGCTGACACTCCATGGGACATGCACACACTGCCCACCTGCCGACACTCCATGGGACATGCACACACTGCCCACCTGCCGACACTCCATGGGACATGCACACACTGCCTACCTGCCGACAATCCATGAGACATGCACACACACTGGCCACCTGCAGACACTCCATGGGACATGCACACACACTGGCCACCTGCCGACACTCTATGGGACATGCACACAATGCCCACCTGCCGACACTCCATGGGACATGCACACACTCTGCCCACCTGCCGACACTCCATGGGACATGCACACACTGCCCACCTGCTGACAATCCAT